TATTCATCGCATCTTGTAAATATATATATATATATATATATATATATATATATATATATATATATGTGTGTGTGTATGTGTGTGTGTGTGTGTGTGTGTGTGTGTGTGTGTGTGCGAATCTGTGTGTATAAGTGAACATAGAAAAGGCAGTCTGTTATATGCTAGATGCAATCGTCAGGCCAGACGATTGCATCTAGCATGCTGATTTCTATGATCACTTTTATATTTACACACGCTCTATCCCTGATATTGACCACTTTATCCTATAAATATAGCACATCTTGATACTATACTTCTACATATATATATATATATATATATATATATATATATATATATATATATGCCTGTATGCATGCATCTATATATTCTTTCGAAGAAAATTCATAGCAATGTTAAATATATACAGATGTAGCCATATTGAGACACAAAGTGACAAACACATTCAGCTATCGACATTTAAGTTAGTGATATTTGTGTGTGACGTGACTCTTTTCCTTCTGAATGCGCCTGTGTTTGTTCATGTGTGTATGCATGTGTGTGCGTTTAAAATTGAATAAATGTCATTGGCTTAGATCTATTTCTTCTAACCCACTTAATGACAAGACTGTAAATATTTACTTCACTAGTTCTAAGATTGCAAATATTCAAATGCATTCAAATATTTCTTTCTACTTATTTGTGCGCCTCTTAATTTTTCTTATTTTATTTAAATGCATCCATGCAAGTACTGAGTGGCATAACATGGTTTAACCCGGAAAATAAAATCAAATTTTGGCTAGATCTTATTTTTTTATACTGACTCGGATCACGTCTTCTTGAATACGGTGTACATCTGCGCTATTTCTAAATTCCTAATTTCATAACTCTCCATAAAGTTATCAAGAAACATATCATATAAACTGTGTCTAAAAACAGTTTGCTTGCCTCATTGATTATGGCGTCATCCAAGAAAAAATATGTCTTCTCTCGGCTAGTGACGCGAGTTTAATATTCTACGTCGTTACAAGCATTTCCCCGATACTTTGTTTATGTGAACGGCCAAGGACTCAGTTTCCTACCAACTCTGTGATCAATATCATTCAGGATAAAACGGCTAATAAATAAATTACAATCAAATAAATGTATGAAAATATTTTGATTTATTTATAAAAGCGTCACCTTTTACAACTAGAATCATAATGTATTAGTTGCTCGATCTACAGCTTGGCCAATCTAGGATCTTTTTGGCCGAGACTCTTTTCTATTCTCTTATTCTGTAGTTCATATAACAGTTATACTCTCTTGCCTAAGATTAGAGTGTAGAATCTGCCAAGGTTGAATCGGTTACGCTTTTTGGCCGAGACTCTTTTCTATTCTCTTATTCTGTTAATTCATACGACAGTTATACTTTCTTGCCTAAGATTAGAGTGTAGAATCTGCCGAGGTTGAATTGGTTACGCTTTCTGAGAAACCTACATATTATGACGTGGGAGTGCAATTTTGAAAAACCGTGTAAAGGAGGAAGAGCAAAAAGATAGTGAAGATGGAAATGTCGGAGATAAAAATCTAGCAAATTATGAAAAGAAAACCAGGTGTTAAAAAGAACGATGATCCTGACATACGAAACTATTGTTTGGAGGAGAAAGGTTAAATGGGTAAATGGGAAAGGTTTAAATGGATAGAAAAATTAAATACAACTTCCAAAATGTTACACTGTGTGTGTGACGTAAAGGAGAATAAGTTAAATATTTTTCTCTATCATAACTTTATATCTTGTGTATCCCTTAGAATGTTCTCCTAAAGTCCCCTTCCTGTTCTATCATCCATTGGCATAAATTGGATAAGTGACTAGCAGTCGTTTCCAATAACTATTAGCCTAAATATGCCCAGTGTGTGTTTTCAAACTCTCCTTCCTGTCCATATGATTTCAACTGTTTTCCTAATTTTGGGTATAAGTGTTCTTTCTTTTAGCATTTCATTGAAAACGTCTTCATTGTTTCGTCGCCCCGTCCATAAAATATTTATTAACCTTCTGTAGCATCACATATCAACTGCTTCTGATTCTTTCTACAAACTTAGGAAAATTTTCAAGCATTCCCTACCATCTTAGAAGATGGATACCACATAGCAACCCAGCACACATTCCTTTGTTTCTTTTTTTTTTCATTTTCTCAGCATCTTTCTAGTTAAATTGCTTTTCGAATCTCGGTGAACGCATTATACATACTCTGTTAAAATTCTTCCCAGATATTTGAACTTCTGCACATGCTTGATGTTTCAAACAGCCTCACACGTTTTTGAAAATATACTGTTTTTTCTTAAATATGATATATTTGGTCGGGATCACTTGATGTTTCCAAGTGCTCAAGATTGAAGAGTTCATCGAATATTGCAGAAAGGGAAAGGAAGAAGAATGTCGGAGATATAATATTTTTTTCTTTCACCCCTGAATTAATAAATCGGGAGTTAGGAAGCGGATTTCCGTTCAAAAAGGGGATTCACCCCACAAGATTTTGCAGTGAGAAATTTTTTTAACTTTAGAGAATATAAGTAATTCGAAACTTGTTTGGAAGCCTCTCTCATTCCTTACCTGTCGCTCTCTCCTTCACTGAAAAGTACCGTATTTAAAGGCATATAAGGCGCAATTATTTTTATTAAAAATATATCTAAAAACTCCCGTTTCTTATCTGTTATATGTAGGTTTAAAATTCGCGATAGTCGTCCGAAATTATCTACCAGGCAACTCCTATTAGCTTAAACTTAAACATGAAAGAGCAACGGAACATGTGGATGGAAATGCCTGATCACGACATTACACTTACAGGAAAAATAAAAAGACCCAATATTGCACAAGTCTGCGAATGGGTGAAGCAAACGTGGGATAATATTAGACCAGATTAAAAAGTTTGACATTAGCAATGCTGTTAATTGAACGGAAGATGATGCATTAATTAACTACGATGATAGTAGTATTGAAAATGAATATCAGTTTTGATAATGAAGACAACTAATTTTTATGGATTTGAAGATGAATAACATTTTAATTTTAACTGTACTGTTTTGCTCAATTGTAATAATTGTTTGATTTTCATTTTGTTTTCCTATCTTTGGATATAGTAAATTTCTTATACGCTCGTGTCCTTTTTTTTCTATTATTTTTCGTTTAATTGTAATCATGGCTTCTTTAACCAAAATAATATCTCATAAATATAGCTGCGGCTGTACTATTTACTAGTAATTTTACTACTTGCTAATTTTTCTTGTCTTTCCCAGCTGAAATTGGGGTGCGTCTTATAGAGCCGTGTGTCTTGCATGCTGTCATATATGGTACTCTTTAAAATGTCAATACGAAGGATAATAAATGAACCCAGTACAAACCATACGCGTTGCACTTATAATATTATACGAGAGAAAAAAAAATTCTTAGTGAAAATAGTGTTAATTTACGTTTCAGCAAAAAGCAAAGACAATCCATCTTTAGCAAAGGGATCTCCACATCATCTTGGAAAATAAGTCTGCGATCCAACCAAATAGATCTGTTTTAAAACAACGTTTGCCAAGGACATTTTTGAGACAGTTGACCACATATAATGGAGTGGCAATATCACAATAAGCAACAACTTTAAAAATGGAATATCAGCAATAACATCTTGCAGCCATTGTCAACCTTGATGCGACTCATGATATAAGTGAGGACTAATTCGTTTTTGTTTGCAAAAATAGGGGCTTTTCCTCTAATGTGATTCCTCTCTATCAAGCAGAAAGTTTGCTTGGCATTAACATTTTTTAATATTAAGCATGCAAATATTGGCTCCCTGGAGAAGATTATGAAATTGTTAATTCCTTGATGGTAAAATGGGGTTGGCCATATATAAATGCTAATGTTAACAAAAGTTTTATGAAAATATGTATTAAACTTATCACTTATTTTAATCTAAGTAGTGATATCTTTTCGGTAAATTAAAGAAGTACATTCTTCTATATCCATCCTAAATTGCGTAAAGTACGGAACCATGTTTATGATTACGAATAATTCTTAAAATGATAATGAAAATTAGAGTAGTTAGAAGCGTCTTTTTGCATCGGCACTGCAAAACCCTGATTTGAATACTTAATTTCTAGGCATGTATTTTCTCACACTTGAATAATATGTAGAGCACGCCTTTCCGTTTCTTCCCGTTTTAAACATTATATTTTGAATATATTTTTTGTTTTTATCATCTCATCCTCTTAATTTTATACCTATCTGTGCCACAGTGTTTCTCTATATAATTCTCTTATCCCATATATATATATATATATATATATATATATATATATATATATATATATACACGAATGAAGAAGTTTATTTTTTTAAATATTCTGTGTGCAGCCGTCAAAATTGTTGTTCTTAATTGGCTCCAAAGGAAGACGTCTATGGTTTGTATTTGATTTTTTTTCTATTTTATGGAAATATCTTTTGTAGTAATACATAATGTATTTCAATGTAACTATTTATTACTCAAGAAGTATATGTGCTTTATCAAAAATCAATTTGAAAGAACAAATATATTTTTCTACTCATAGTTTTTCGTTGACAATATTGCAGAAATAAAATATACGTTATTGTCACTCATGCAAACTAATTATTATGCCTTAGTTCGTCGAAATGACAAATACTACAGGAATAGTCACCACCACGAATAATGATTATAAAGAAAACTATTCTAACACAAATGTAACTCAAGTCAAATTACGGATATATATATATACACATAATTTCATCGAGTCTGATAGAAACCTCAACCGAATGCTGAAAGCATGGGACGGCCGTTTCGTCCTATATTTGGGACTCATTCAGCAATGTGCATCCACTACCGAGAATTGAAACCCTGACAGTTACGTTGTCAAGCAAACGTCATACCAACTGTGCCAATGTACCTCGTTGACGAAGTGATTGCAAATCAGACTCAATATAGCGCCGCTCGCTCACATATTCCGTGGTGGAACTCTTACTGAGTTCTCTTTTACCATAGGACTGTGTCCCCTGGAGCCACGACTATCTATCTATCTATCTATCTATCTATCTATCTATCTATCTATCTACAATTTATTTTAGGATAATACGACAAAACATGTCACGAAACCGCTACATAATTCCAGTCGTGTTTCGATGCGAAACAACATATCTATTCAGGCGTTAGCAAATAACTGGCAAAAATAGTGCCCTATTTTATATCATGCCCCTTTTTAAATTAAATGTTAAAAGTATATATATATATATATATATATATATATATATATATATATATATATATATATATATATATCTCCGAGTGTGTATGTATATATGTATATTCTCAATATATAATGGATTTATTTTTAATCAGATATTTTAATAATTCAAATGTTATGTTAGATACTGCTCATTTGAAATACCTTATGTATGCTTTAGTTGGTTTCCAATGTTAAGAATTGATGTTTTTGTTGATTATTTTTTCTATTTGCCTTCATAGTTAAGTGCTGTGTCATTTTCTTTCATGTATACCCTTTGTAGATGTATTAATTGATTAGTCTATTTATGATAAAAGTCCTCTGTTTTATATAAAGAAAAATGAAACTAACAAATATGTCTAATTCTAATTATCTGCAATGTTTAACGCCCACACTTGATAAAAAGTAGCCATTATAAATATTTAATATAGAGAACACATTTAATGTCCTCTACACTGAACATATTTAAAAGCGATATATATAAAAAACAAAACATGCTGTAATTAATTATAATCTCCAAAGGCACGTAACGAACAACGGACTTAAGCAAATAAAAATTAACACTAATGAAAATAAGAATCGCATGAAATTTGGAAAGAGCTCAACACACTTGGAAAAAATATCGAAAGAAAATGAATATATCGGCCTACTAAACTATTAGTTTTGCGTTGCAGCTCAGATCTGGGATCAGGTTCGTTCTCAGGGTGCAGCTACTTTCAGTGAAAAGCTTATGGCTTTAAAATATCTCTTTGTTCAGATCATCACCAACAAAATAAACAATGAGTCTATGTAGTAATAGGCAAACTTTATTCTTGTTCTAACTTACAGTTGCAGGTCAGCGAGTAAGTCATGAGAAGAGTCTAAAGGTCATTGCTACGAGACAGTCTCTTGTCACACTCTCTGCCTTTGTCTTTCGCTCTCTGATTTCCGCTGGTACTGACCACTGCCTTATTTATAACATTGTTCTTTGTCTTGTCAAAAATTGTCTAAAAACATATTTTATCAAGGTCTGTATTCTTGAAGTGACCCATTTTGTCAGGAACTTTTGCCATGTTTCGTGTACGGTCCGCTTCACTTACCGGATATTCATCAGGATAATAAATGCCTGAAACAATTTTTGTGACAGCAAAGATGTTTTATTCTAACAATATATCAACTGACACGGATATCGTAACAAAAGCAAATATCAAATACATACAACTCTTAAGTTAGTATAAAAACTAAAATACTCCCACACGATCATCATGAAGTCTGCAACGCAATAATAATAACTAAACCCAACCAATATTGTCTAGGAATTATTTTCCATACTTAGAGAATAGATCTGTAATAATAATAATAATAATAATAATAAATGTAGTAGTAGTAGTAATTAAAAAACACATTTGCTGGTGACACACTGTCTATATTACAAGCCGTTTAATTAGCACAACTACTTCATATGACTAAAAAAGACAAGAAATCCTATAAATACAGAAAGAAATACTATATTGCATTCACTAAAATAAAAACCCAAAACCCCCAAAACAAACAAGATGACGATAGATAATAGAAGCCTTAATGAAAAAAAACAATAATCCAATCTCAGAAATTCTTTAGTTTAGAAACAAACAAAAATTTTGATGTTCGTACATCGCAGAGCGATCTCCGAAATGTCACCTATTCCGATAAATGAGGATTCTGTCGTGGAGATCCCCTGCTCCAAGTGACACTCGCAGAATACTCCACGGTAAAATAGCTTTCATATACAATGGCGTATTTTATGGTCTTGAAGTCAGAGAGAAATGATATCCCCACACGCGAAAGAACGTGATAGAAAACGAACAAACGATCATTTGGGATTTCAGCATCAAAACCAACCAGGACATTCAGGCCAGCAAACCACATATTAAGAAAGAGAAAAATTCCTCCTCATTCATGCGGATGTTCCTGATGCCCATAACATCAAAGGTCCAAGAAACTGGAAATTTAAGATATATATCGACGTCCAGACTAAAGTTACCAGAAGGTTTGGGCGAGTATGCCACAATTGTTCCAGTTATTAGTGGGACGTTGCGGTCTGTAACAGTGAGCTGATCAGGGTTTGTGACCTGATGGAGAACAGAAGTAATTCAAGGTATCCAGTTGAAAAAGAAAAACAGCGAGTAATAATAATAATAATAATAATAATAATAATAATGTACAGGAGTCAGTTGATTAATTCAACAAGAACTGTCTTACAAAACCACAACATTCGGTCTTTAAAGATAGTTGGAGACTATAGAATACTGGATTTTGATCGTTGTCAAAGAACATGAAAGAAACAGGAAAATTTATTCATTATTAAAGGAAGCCAACAAATTCTAAAGGTAATCCCAAGTGAAGGAAGAATTTCAACTAGACCCTAATGCATTTACTGAAGCGGCAAAAAAACTAAAAAGGAAAGCAAAACCAAAGGCAGAAACGATGGCAAGATAAGACTCTTCAGGTTCAATACTCTGCCCGTACCAAACAAGCTGATGTAGACAACCACTATGCCCATCAGTGGTTATGTAGTGCAAGGTTGAAATCTGAAACAGATTGTTTTTTTTATTCTTGCTGCACACAACCTATTCTATCAAGTTCCACAGGGTTTGCATCAACTGAATATAAAACTCAGCAATAATAGAGTGAACGAATATCTGTAATGGAAAATATGCAACTTTTACAGGAAGAAAACGGCAACAATTTTATGGGAGTTTACAGTACACATAGAACAATCAAAGCTAATCGCCCAGACACCGTGTTCAAAGACCAAAAAACAAACAAAAAAAACTGAATAAGCATTCTTATTGAGATATCTGTCCGTAAATAATGTAATTTATACTATTTATTTTTATTCAGACTATTGTCCTTATCTTTGTCGACAGACGATTAAAGCTGGTCGTCAGATGTTCCAGTTTTCTTCAGGAAGTGTGATCTGAACCTGGTTTCGCTCATTCTGGGGTTCCAGTTCCACGTGTCATGTTTTAATGGATGTCAGTTATCAATTATCTCCAAGTTCTACCCTGCCTTAACCGGGTATTGAACTCACACACTTTGGGTCCTGTCAATGGATCTAACCAACGCCTTTATCCACTGGGCCATGTGTCTTTGAGAACTTGGTGAGAGGAATTAACAGGAGATAACTGATAGCTGACATCCATTAAACATGGCGCATGGAACTAGAACAGTCTACACCAGTGAGTGAATTAAAGGGTTCAGTTCGACATTGCAACCACCAGAAGAAGGTCGGAGCGTACAACGGCCGAAACGTTGTGATAAATATGGCGACAAAGATGAAGACAATAGTCCGAATAATGTAAATGCTGTACATAATACCTCAGAAATCTAGTAATTTATATTTGAAGATCTTTAAATAAAACTATCAAAATGCAAACATATTGAAGTGGAAATATAAAAAATGTGGCACATCAGGCCATCAATAATTCAAGTTGTAGATGTAGCCATCGCATTGACTAGAAAAAGTTCCGATATACACACTGAAGGGAAGGGATTGCACAAGCTTTATCTATGTAAAATATGTGACCCTCGTTTTTCTTTTTCGAAAATGATCAGTGGAAAAATCATGAAGTCATTTCACATTTTGTCTCTATTATTTATTAAATCGGTTAAAATTTTTATCGCACTCAAAATGTTATTCTGTTTAATTTTTAAACAACGTAGAAGAGATAATATCCTCTACGTCGCTGTATATAGATGACAAAAAATATATTTATTTCTCGTCAGTTAAGAGAACATAACATATTTTATAATTGTTATAATTTTTTTTTAAATATTTACCTTATAATACACATCCAGTTCAACAACGGACAACAAGATAAAGAAAACTTTGGAAATTTTCATTCCTTCAACGAATAGCACTCATTATATTTCTATTAAATCCAAGAGACAGTTTTAACATTGGCTTCCAGCACTTCGGACTCCATAATCTCCAACTTGCATTAATAAACACAACAATGTCCAGCGATTACTAATTTGTTATTGTCAAAGAAATTGTAGAATCATCTCATGGTAGCCTATAATCTTTAAATTGTAAAATCGAATCTTTCGAACCCTTTGAGGCAAATATTTCCATGCACTGAATTCTGGAAAGGTCGAAATGCTTAAATTGCCCAGACAGATGACACTGTGAGTTTAGGGCATATACATATCTAATCTTCGCCCAGGCCACGTCTCATTTCCGTGCGCTATGCATGACTATGATTAAATCAAATTCTTATCGTCTCGGTATTCTCTAGAATATTAGAAAGTGATTCCGCAAAGTATATGAGGCTCGTCCAAAAAGTTCTAAGACTCATCCATAATTTACGTTCTTTTCTACAGCAGACATTTTACCCTAAAATTTAACCCTAGACGGGATAGAATGAAGAGACGAGCTGAAGTAAATTCTAAGGTAATTACTGTGAAGTGACGGCAGCAGATTCAGTCGGAATTTGAACTTTCCACGACGATTTCACATTTTTTACACTGCATATTTGTAAACAAATGAATAGAATAAACATCGCGAAAGTGAAATTTAAAAAAAATGTATTTTTTCCCTGATAAATGCCCTCATTTAAATATACTTAAAATTTGAGTGTCTTATACATATATAACTTTAAGTATAGTTCGGATATATATAACAATTATATAAAGGTTGTTTCATTAAAACGAATCAAAGTCAGCAGTAAATAAATTAATGTTATTTGTGAAAATCTATTTATTTCTCTATTGGATCATGTTATTTAAGTCATGGCAATTATGTGTGAAAAATAATATCGCCCAAATATCTGCCAAGGCTTCGACGGCACACCTCCACTCAATGGGCAACATTTTTGATGATGT